TTCCATCCCAGGCAGCCCCATCTCCCTAGTGGCCGAGGGGGTGGAAGCCCAAAGCCCAGCAGCACCCCTACCAGCCCCCAGCACACAGTAGGTGCCTAATAAACACACAGTAAGTTGGTAGATGCCAGGATGAAAGGCCCCACCTTTCATCCGACAGTGGCTGCTGGCTGTGAATCTGTCTGCTTCCCGTTGCCCGGCCGGGGTGTGCAATAGGCTGCAGGAAGGAAGGGAAACTCGGGGTGCTCCCAGACGCCAGCTCCAGCAGCCCCGCAGGGGCGAGGTGCACTCAGGTGGCCCAGCCTGGCCCCACAGCGTGCTGCCTGGCCTGGGAATCCAAGTGCGTGCTCTGTGCCGAGGTCTGAGAGCCAAGAAGACAGGCCTGTGGGGGGTAGGCTGGGGGTGTTGGCTGGAGGGACGACCTCAGGATGGTGTGGCAGGCACATCCCATCCGCTTCTCCACCGGGGGCCGCAGCCGTCTCAGAGGCTTGGGAGTCCCTCTGGTGCTGGTCCAAGCTGAGAGGCTTTCTCACAGCGGCTCCATGAGCCACGGGGACCCCTGCCATGAGGGTTTGCTCATTCCTCATGACAGGAAGGAAAACTGAGGGCCAGTGAGGTGTGGTGATCTGCCCTGACCCAGGACCCAATCGTGGACCTCCCCAAGCCCTGGCCGTGTAGGTCTGGGCACTGTGGATCCATTCAGTGACTGCCTGGCTGGGTGGGAATCAGCCTGGGGGGATCACAGAGGGCTTCCTGGAGGAGGGGGTTGTGTCGGAGTTGAATGTTGAAATAAATAGAGGGTGCTGGGTAGAGGATCCTGCGGCACTTTGTGGCTGGGAGCTGGGGTGGGCAGTAGTGGCGGGGGGGGATGGGGCAGGGCCCCTATATTCCTGCAGGATTCTAGCCTGGCCACGTGGGGTGGGCTGCGTCCAGAATGCTGTTGTCCCCCCAGGGCCGCCCAGGCTTCACGTGCAGAGCCCGGCCAAGCCCCTGGGCTGTTACGTGCACCAGCCGGGCCAGCTGTCCAGGGCTCTAGGGCAGCTTCAGCCCAGCGCGGGGTGGGAAAAGAGGGGGGCAAGGCAGGACCAAAGGCAAGGCTGCCAGAGGGGCCGGGCACAGCGTGACACATCATGCCAGTGGGGTCAGGGTGCATCCACGTGCCATGTCAAGTGATGCTCTGGGCAGAGGGACACCCCCAGGTTGACTGGCACAAGGAGGAGAGATGTATGCCAGGCCTGTGCATGCCCAGCACTGGGGTGAGGACGCTGAGGCTCAGGAGGGAGCCACATGGCGCTCTGGGACAGAGCCACGCTGGCCGTGGGCGGCTCTGAGCAAGCACGGCCTCAGGCAGGTCCAATGCTCCAAACATGTCATTTCACACCTCTGGGCCTCAGTGTCCTTGTGTGCACACAGGGGACGTCAGCAGCCTCTTCCTGCGAGGGCGTCGTGGGGGTTGAGAGTGGGCTGGGTCACCCTGGCTGTGAGGAAGGGCCTCTGCCCTGCAGCCCCTGGGCCCCAGCTCATCCAACAAATAAACACTTCCTTCCCATAGACACACTCCTGACACGTTCTCAGTCTCACTGGACATCGGTCTACAATCAGCTGCTGAATATTCTGCTGCTTCTATTATTTCAGCACTAATTTAAGGATTAAAAAATAATTCTACCAATTACTGTGCAAAGCCCTGGGCACCAGATAGACAGGGGCAGGTTCTCCTGTCCCAGGACCTGGGCCAAGCCTGCAGGTAGATGGCAGGACAGGGTGGCCCCAGGGGCCCCTTGGCCCCCAGTGGGCATGCAGTCATGCCCCGCTGCCCTCCAGGGCCCCAGGGTCAGGGCTGGCAGAGAAGTGATCTCTGGGAGGAACCCAGCCTGAGCCCAGCACACTGCTCACCTCCCATCCACCCCTGCAAGCACAGGCCCCAGGTGCCACCCTCCACTGACTGCTCTCGGTAGCACCAGCCTGGCTGGGCTTGTGACACAGATGGACCTGTGAGCTGGGAAGGACCCTGTGCACAGGCTGCCCTGTGGCTGGCCTGGCATCCTAGCATGAGGGCCAGGAGCATCCTGGTAAACCAGCAGCTGGCCTGGGGAGGTGGACACTCCCAATGCGCTTCTCGTGGTCTGAATTAGCTTCCTGCCCAGCCAGGTCCAAGGGTCTGGGAGACTGAGGCTGGACATCGGTCACCTCCTGTCTGGGTCCAGTGGGCCTGACCCCAGGGGACCAGCACGTCCGGTGAAAGGTAGGGGTCAGGGCTGGGTGGGGCAGGCAGGAGCTGAGCCTGCTGCCCCGGGCCCAGTGCCAGCTGGTGATGTCATCGCTTCCTGGGCTGTAAATATCACCCACACTCACAACTCCCAAATTGTCCTCCAGCCCGGGCCCCTCTCCTGAGCTCAGCCTGCACAGCCCACGCGACACCCCCACCCAGATGTCTCCTGGGCCTTGACAACGGGGGCTGCTCCTCTGGGGGCCCCCACCTCGGGGACGGGCTGCTCAGCCCAGACGCCGGGAGCCCTGCCCACCTCTGCCTTCTGCTGCGTCCAACTCCAACACAGCCGCAGCCCTCCTGGTCCCCAACCCGACCCTCCTCGGGCCTGGCCAGACCTGTGTGCCCACTCACAAGTCTTCACTGTGTTCGCAGAGGCCAGATGGGTCTATTCAGGAAATCAGAACCCATCTCTGCCCCTCAGAACAAAGTCCCCAAGATCTGCACCCCACCACCCCACAGGTCCACCTGCTTCACCCTCAGAAGGCCTGTATGGCCCCTTGTCCCCATTCCCCACTGTGGCCTGGGTTTCTCTCTCCTGGGGGAGGGGAGGATGCAGGGCCCCAAAGGACGGGCTGGGGCTCTGGCAGTGCCAGGAGGAGCATGTGGCCATGGAGGCATGGCATCTGGGGGTTAGCCAAGTCCCAGCTCAGCATGGGGCCCTGCAGCCTCCTGAGTTGCTGGAGGCTCCTAGGCCCCACCTGAGGGCCAGCTGGTGGTGACAGGCACAGCCAGCCTGAAAAGTGCCCTGAGGGCACATGGGTGTCTCTCAGTAAGAAGCAGCCTCAATAGAGGTAGTGAGCACCCTATCCCAGGAGGTGTGCAAGCTGAGGAGCTCAGATGTGCCTCAAAGATCTTTGCAAATGCGTGTCTGCAGTTTCCTGGCTGCCAGGAAGGTGGTGGGAGCCCAGGGGCCACCATGCTGAGCAAGAGCCCTGCACCCTCCCCAGATTTAGCAGCTTGGCTGTGTCTTCTTGGGCATGGCAGGGGCTGCTCAGGAGAAAACTGGATAAAGAAACTCCTGCCTACGCTCCCTCTGCCCACCAACGCCCAGGCGCAGGCTGGCAGACTCCCGGCCTGGCTATACAGTCACAGGGACGGTGTCCGGGGGTGCTGATGGTTGCCAAGGCTGCCCTATACCTCCACACCAGACTGCATGGAGCTGTGTGTGTGGAGGCTGTCTAAGGTGGTGATGGGGTCTCCTGGGCTCAAAGGGGCCTGCCCATGCTGCCCACTTGGAGCCTGGGGGCAGTGCAGCCTGGTCTTGAAACTCAGATGTACCCGTGTCCACAGTGCAGAGGGGCAAACTGCCAGGGCTCACACAGGGGGTGCCAGGGGGCCCAGGCCCAAGGGTCCCTTAGAAGAAGAAATGGGGTATGTGGGAGGACCCGACTGAGGAGGGGGAGGGGCCGGACAGGAGAGGCAGGGACCCTCCCCCAACAGTGCCCTGACTCTGCCCTGGGCTGGGGCAGGGAGGGTCTGAGCTCCCACCATGGGCACAGAGGGGCCAGGTGGGGGAGCGGGGCCTGGTTGCTGAGCACACTCCCTCCCCTCCCCTCCCCCTGGGCTTCTGGAGCCCTGGCCGCCCCCACGGCCATCTGGTTCCACCAGCAACGTTCCCCCACTCCCTCTCCCAACTCACGGTGTGTTCCTCCCTCTTCCTGCTCCCCCAGGCCCCTGCCCCGAGGGGGATGGTGGGATGGCCACGTGGCCTCTTTTGTTACTGAGTCCTCATGCCCAGTAAAGACTGAGAAAATGTGCATGTGCATATTTTTGCCTGTGCTGCGTGTGAGCACGCATGCACATGCATTATGTGTGCACACAAGTGGTCCCTGCCCCGCCTGTGCGTGCACGTGTGTGCGGTATGGTGTAGGTATGCGGCACCCTGGGCACACGCCGGAGCAGGCATGGCCACAGCACTGGCATGAGACCACAGGCAGTGGTATGAACGTGGCACATGGCCCCTGCCAGGCCTTGGAAGGGGGGGTCAGCCTCACCTCCCAGCACTCCATCAGGACCACCCTAGCCCACCCGCACAGGGTTCACCTGGACCTCAGGCTCCTCCTGGGGCCACCTCAACCCACATGGGAGGGGGGGGGCAGCAGAAGCTGGGCTGGAAGGCTGGGACATCTAGGGACTCTGTGTGACCGCAGAGCAGATGTCCCCACAGAGGCAGCCTTGTCTGGCTGGGCATGGTCTGTGCTGGACACATACCTCTCTCAGACACTGCTGTCAGCCCAGCCGGGAGGGAGGGAGCCAAGGCACACTGAGGTCAGTCTTCATGGCCACCACAAGTGCTGGGCTGAAAAGGGTCGAGCTGCCTGCAGCTCAGGCCATACCACCAGGCAGCTGCCTTCCCTTCCTGGGACTCTGTGCCATGACGGGGGCAGGGCTGCACCTCCAGGGCCCACCTGCCTCTCACGGCTCACAGCAACCCCTAGCCTGAGAGGCCACAGCTTAGGAAAAGAGCTCTTTATTCCACATCGTCCAATATTTTTACACAAGTAAAATAAAACGCATATCTCTATATATCGCGATCCGGGCGGGAGGCGGCGTTCTGGAACAAACACCCCGACCACGCCCTGTAAACATGACGGGGTGGAGATGGGACGGGCGGGCGGGCAGGCGGGAGGCGCCGTCAGGGAGGGCCTGCCACCCGGGGCTGGCTGGCAGTGGGAAGGGACCCCGTATGTACACACACCTGGCTGCTGAGAGAGGCTTTGCGCTCAGTGGCTGGTCAACAGGGCCCGAGCACCGTCCACAGCACCAGCGCAAGGCCCAGGGGGAAGAGGCCCAGAGGGGTGAGGCTGCAGGCGAGGCCAGGCAGGGCACCCGAGCCCTCCACCCCGCCAGCCCCCCCAGCCCCGGCACCCCCGCCACCTGCCTGGCCCAGACGGCACTGGCTGCGTGTGCGGTTCTTGCGGGAACAACCTGGCCGCCGGCGAGGGCCCATGGTGGGGGGCTCCGGTGGCTGGGAGCCCTCAGGATGCACCGCGGTCAGTGGGGGTTCGGCCGAGCCAGGCAGGGTCCCGAATGGGGAGTCGTTGATGTGTCGTGGGCCAGAGCCGTTGCCTGGCAGGCTGTCGCCAGATGACACACGTCCCTTGAGTGCATTGCCAGCCGAGGCCGGACTCCCGGCCTCCAGCACCGAGGCCTTGTCCTCAGCGTCCGGCTGGCAGCACTTGGGCAGCCCCAGCAGCTCCTCATCGGCAGGCCCGCCGGTCCAGAAGGGACGGGACGGTCTGGCGGCCACAGCGCAGCCCTCCAGGTCGGCAGTGGCCAAGCGCTTGAGGTCGCGGCCAGCGAGGCGCGGGGGCAGGCTGCAGGGCAGCTCGGATGAGGAGCCGCGGAATTGCTGAAGCCAGGCCCAGAGCGGGCGCGCCCGGCAGTCGCATACCCAGGGGTTGTCATTGAGCCGCAGGTATTGCAGGGCCCGCAGTGGTGCTAGGGCCTCCGCGGGCAGTGCAGAGAGGTTGTTGGCAAACAGGTAGAGTGTCATGAGACGGCCGAGGTCCCGGAAGGCGTGCGGGTGCACGCGGGCCACACGGTTCTGGTGCAGCAGGAGGCGGTCGAGGCTGTGCAGGCCGCGGAAGGCGCGCTCGGGCACGCTGGGAATGCGGTTGCCGTGCAGGAAGAGGTGCGTGAGGTTGCCCAGGTCGCGGAAGGCGTCGTCGGGCAGCGCCTGTAGCCCGTTGTCCTGCAGGTAGAGGTACTGCAGGGCAGCCAGGCCGTGGAACAGGCCGGGACCCAGCTCCTGCAGGCCGCAGCGGTCCAGGTGCAGTGTGTGCAGGCGGCTCAGGCCCTGGAACGTGGCAGGGTCCACGGCATGCAGCTGCGCGTTGTCGCTGAGGTCCAGCTGCTCCAGGAGTGCCAGGCCAGCGAAGGCGGCGGCGTCGATGTGGGCCAGCGCGTTCGAGTGCAGCCACAGGATGGTGAGGTTACGGCAGGCATGGAAGGCGGCGGCTGGCACGTATGTGATGCGGTTGCCGTGCAGGAAGACGCGCTGGCTGGCAGCCGGGATGTCGGTAGGCACGGCCTGGAGACCCTGCTGCGGGCAGCTTGTGGTTACCTTGGGCTCGTTGTAGCACACACAGGCACCCGGGCACGGCGCCGCCACACTCCACACCTGCAGCCACAGCACCCAGGCCAGCAGCTGGCTCCCTGTGGGCAGAGCAGAGGGCAGTTAGTGGGCAGGGGCTCCTGCAAGGCTGGGGTTGTGCAGGAGGGGTTGGGGCTGGGCCCAGGATATGCTGCCGCCCCTGGGAACTCAGGTGCTGTGATCCTTGCCCCACCCACCAGGTGGAAGCTGCTGCACAACAGCCCTCCAAGGGGTTGAAAGCTCCACACCAGGAAACGTCGCCTGCAGACGCCCACGTCACCCTGCCTGGCACTCAAACACACGAGCTAACACGCCCGCACCCCCCGCCACTCGGAGTTAGCAGGTCACGCCCAAGGCCCAAGTGAAGGCCTCCTGGGATGGACATGCACACCTGCAGATACCTTCTCGGACTCCAGTTAACACAGGGCCCCCGTGGGCCTGCCCACTGTCCCTGTCCGTCCCAGCACTGACCCAACCTGTCCCTGTCCCATCGGCCCACAGGCCAGGCAGAGAGAGAGGCCCCGGCAAACACTGGAGCACCAGGCCAGCCCCGCTCATGCAGAGGAGCCCTGGGCCAAGGATCATGGCCAGGCCTGCCTCCTGGCAGCTTCCTCAGCAGCCCTCCCAGAGGGTCCTCTCGCTGCAGGAAGGGTGGGGCTGTGACTCAGAACTGGTGCCCTGCCCAGGCCCCCAGAGCCCCTGGGGCCAAGGCCTGCCTGGATTCTGAGGGAGCCTCCCCACCTCGGGGAGCTGTGCTTTAACCAAGAAATTGCAGGGGCCTTGGTGAAGCCGGGAGCCACAGCCCCAGTGGCCCTCCTGCAGGGGTCTGGGTCCCACCAAGAGGACACAGGAAACTGCCACAGCAGCCCCAGTCTCCAGAGCAACTCTGCCATCACAGGATCAGGAGCGTAGGCCCTGAGGGCAGGCAGGTCCAGGGCTTGGGGGGCACTGCAGTCCTGCCCCGTGAGCCCCTCAGGCAGGCTGCTCCCTCCTGCACATGCCCTCCTCACTGCCGCTTAGTGCTTCCTAGCCTGGCTCGGAACACCTCCTGCAGCCTCCTCCCCTCGGCCTCATTCTCTGCTTGGTCTCCTCCCTGGGCGAGGAGCTTACTCCTTCCCGGCCAATCTCTGCACAGTCCAGCTGCCCCCAACCCTCCTGCCAAGACACGCTCCCAGCAGGTTCTGTGCCAGCCCAGGGGGCTGCAGCTCCCCTCTTCCCTCCCCCATCTCAGGGCCTCACCAAAGACCTAGACCGGGTAGGAGAACCCTCCTGGGGTCACCAGCATGGCCACATGCCCAGTGCTAAGCTCCCTGCCTATCATCTGCCATTAGAGCCACCGCTTTGAATGCTGAAGGTTCTTTCCACCTTCAGGAGTAAGTCTATTAAAATGTGAATCCCCCTGGGAGGGTTATGGCTTATCAGCTAACACTTGAGTTATCAGCTAACACCTTCGTTGACAGCTAATACCTTCGTTGACAGCTAACACCTTCCTTGGCAGTCAGCTGAGAGCAGGATTCTGCAGACATAAGGCCGGCTAAGTGCTGGGGCTGGAGCCAGGAGGGAGAAAGGAGGAGACCACAGGCCAGCTTCCCCCACCCAGAACCATGGCCTCGGGCCCCAAACCCCCACTAGGTCCTCTCTGCCAGGGCCAGTGCAGACGCTTGCCCCAAGCCCAGAGGCCCAGCAAGCCGGGCATGTCCAGCGGTTATAAGGAATACGCCCTCCCAGACTCTGGTCCCCAGGTACTGGGAGTACCGTCCCCACAGCCTAGGCGCCTCCTCTGTCCCCTGTGCTCTGGTGGCCACTGAGGCTGGGCCATTTGTTGGCTGCTGGGGACATGGCAGCCCCAGGACCACCCCCTGCCCAAGCCCTGGGCTGGCTGCACACAGGAGGCCATGAGGGGGCATCTCAGCTGTTCTATTTAAACTGCTGGCATCCTCTGCTGGCTCTCTCCTCATGGGCCTCCTCTGGAAAGTCGGGCCTGCTTGAGCCACAGCTCCCACGGCGTCTCATCGCTGCCACGGGGCGCGGCCGCAGCTCCCACGGCGTCTCATCGCTGCCACGGGGCGCGGCCGCAGCTCCCACGGCGTCTCATCTTTGCCACGGGGCGCGGCCACAGCTCCCACGGCGTCTCATAGTTGCCACAGGGTGCGGCCACAGCTCCCACGGTGTCTCATCGTTGCCACGGGGTGCGACTGTGCTAGGAAAACAGTACTTCCTGCTCCCGAGACCTTGTGGCAGAGGACAGTCTGGGGCAGCGTGAGGCGGGGCTCCAGGTACTCACCAGGCCAGACTATGGACCTCACCACCACGGGCTGGGCCACACCACCAGCTTGGCTGCCAGCGGCCATCCATCATGACCATACCCACCACATGGCCGACTGCACTGTTACCACTGCACCCTGACCATTGGCTCCCAGGCCTGCAGCCATGGTCTGTGAGCTTGGCTGGGTTGGGGTCAGCTGACCACTGGAACCGGCCAGCTCCTCCAGCTTCCAGCCATTGCTAAGCGGGGCCCCCAGAAGGCTATAAGCTGTGGGCTTGGGGCCGTGCCCACTCTATGAATGCCCTGAGATAGGCACCAGTGTTGAGCCATGCATGGGGGAAAGTGGCAGAGCAGCCATGTGGCTCGGCCCTGTCAGGAAGTGGGCAACAGGCGCAAAGACACGGCTCCCCTCTCGCCGAGGCAACTGCTTTTCGGAAACCAACTTCTGATGGTCGGTCCCTCAGTACAGGCCCTGCTGTCAGCATAGCGGCCGGCGGTGGGCTCACTCCTCGCCTCAGCCACAGTAATTGGCTCCAGCCTGGCCCCCTTGGGGCCTGCCTGCTGGTCTCCATGGCAACCCCTCTGCTGAGCAAGCAGTGGGGGGTATCTTTCTATGAGATAATCAAACCCAACTTTGTGTCATGTTTGCATTCTCACAGCAGGGGCCTGGAGACCCCACCAGGTAGTGGGAGGGTGTACCCTGGCCCCACCCCCTGGACCCCATCACTCACCTAATCCCTCCCAACCCTAAAAGTCCTCCCCATCCATCCCCCCCGCCCCG